ATCAAAACTTCTTTAAAATCAGCACATATAAAAAATAAAATCAACACAAACACACCATTCCCAGAAACAAGGCAGCTTTAATACGAATAAAATTTACTGTTGAGAAAGCGAATACCCGATCCAGTACATAAGTAAGCAGAAGAAATAAAAAAGCAAACTTCATACAATGCATGAGTACATCGAGCTTACGTTTGCATTGTCTGCAATGTTCATCGCGAAAAGCTGTCAAAGTATTTAACCACGCAGACACGGAGTTTCTCACGGCAGTAGCTGCATTGTTCAAACTGCCCATGAGAAGTCTTCTCACTTGTTAAAGTGCGAAAGTAGTTAGCTAAATCGACCTTTCATCATGCCGACCGGCGGCCATGAAAACAGATTGGATTGGTGCGCGCGTTGGTTTATGGGATACGGCATTAAAATTTCTTTCCCCAGGCCCCCGAAATGACGTCACAGATCACCTGGGAGAGGGTAAAATCGCACCTTGGTGCATGGCATGGGGTTATATAAAGTTAATCCAGCAAAAGTACAAGGTTTCTTCAAATAACTCCAATAAAATTTTTGGGCTACTCAAACTACGAAATTTTAGGACACCAGACAAAATTATAACATAACCAAAGTAAAGCGCGCGCTCTGATTGGTCAATATAGCGTCCCCCATTTGCCCATGGGTGTACGATGCTGACGTGAGCAAATGCAAAGACTATTTTTCCGCGCGCGCTTGTTTTTTCTGGTCACGTAAGATTTGTTAAATAAAAGGGAACTCTTTAGCTACAATGTATCAATGTTATGTTATAAAACAAATGGCAAACACCACAGCGTACACTATTGAGTTATGGCTATCGCCTCGAGCGACTCTTACGCTTCTTTCGTGCTCTCCAAACTTCCCGCGTGCTCCATAACTCGATAGTGCACGCTAAAGCATGAACCAATTGTTAAATTGTGTATTCGCTGCGTGAGCTGCCCTGCGCTGTCTGGAAATGTTCAGTAAGGATTGCGTGACAGGCAGACCCACAAGTCGTAGGCCACAATATTGCTAGTGAGTTTTTTTTCGTTTGGGACGTTGAATTATGTTTGAATACTTTTGGGGGAATTTTTCCCTTCATTCACCCCCCTCCTCTTTTTCATTCACTGATCTGTTGACATTTTACAGGCTTCACCAAATAAGCTTTCAAAGCTTATCTAATCAGTAGTCTGTAATTTTTAACATCTTGATCAGTGCAGGAACATGTATTGTGTATTCGCTTCAAAAGCCGCAGCCGTTAACTGCCCTCCGGTCCAAATGTTCTATAAGAATTGCGTGACAGGCGGCAAGGGGGCGCGTCTTTACCATAAACACGAGCACTCTTCCTTCATATTCAGTACTAATTGTTTGGGAACCTTGAATTATACTTGAATGCTTGTGGGGGATTTTTTTCCACTGAATTTACCCCTTCCTCTTTTACATTCATCAATCTGATGACATTTTCATCAGATAAGCTTCATCAGATAAGCTTCATCAGATAAGCTTCATCAGATAAGCTTCATCAGATAAGCTTCATCAGATAAGCTTTCAAAGCTTATCTAATCAGTGGTAATTTTTTACATCTTGATTGGCGTAGGAACACATTCTATACTTGTCATGTTATTGTGTTTTTACTTGTAATGTTGTTCTACTTTTGAAGCTGTAAGCCTCCCACATTATTAGATAGGAGAAGATTTACGCAGATAGGTATTGTCCTGTGTACAAGTGTCTGGGAATCATGACCAAAGTCAAGCGCTTAGCACGCAATAACTGATACGATCACTTTGACACTTTCGATATACATATCAGAGTATGTAATGGCAATCTGTGGCTACTCTGAACTTGTTGGAGGGCCTTGTGGATGCATTGGTTCTAACCCGACAAATGATTTATGTGAGGCGATAGAAACATGCAGAAGNATTTGGAGCTCAAACACTGTGAAATACTTGGGTTTAATTTTTGATGCTTCTATGAACTGGAAAGAACACATAATTAGCATTTCTTATAAAGTAACTCGTAGATTAAATTTATTGTGAAGAATTCGCAAATATTTAGATACCCATACCTGTAAGCTTCTATATATGTATGGGTCCGCGAATGATCCCAGGACCGCAAATGATCCCAGGACCGCAGATGATCCCGGACCGCACATGATCCACAAATTGGAACGCAAATGATCCCCACACCGAACACCGAACACCCACACCGAACACGGCGAGAGGAAAATAGCTAAAGAAATTTGCCCCAGATGTGGAAGGCAGTTCGATTGTTACTCACACGGCGGTGTCTTTCAGAGTGGTGAAGGTGGAGCGTTACAGGTTTATTCAGACGACAGCGTCTTTTGCAACAATTGCCTCCTGAAGGAGTTTTAGATAGGAACTTTAGCTGAAGACACACATGGCAACAAAAAGGAAAGCAAGCACTGCATACTGCTGGACGGAATCTTATTATCTAAAAGATTAAGTTCTTGGTATTGTTGCTGCCGTTGTTATCAGTCGTATGGCGTTAATGGACTGACTAGATCATTTGATTTGAAGATACTGTAACACCAAAATAACAATGTTTAGCTGAGAAGAGATACGAGGCGTATGTTGCGTCATTAAAGAAAATCTGTTGAGGGGATTCTGGTTGCAAAGAAAACAAAACTTCTGGCCTGCAATTCAGATCAGCAGTTTTATTTGTCAGTTGTCAGTTGTCAGTTGTTAGAGTGAATAAAAAAAATTTAGCACAAAGTGTGGAAAAGATGCTAGTTGAGAGCCATGATAATCACTGTTCACGCCAATTCCCTATCCACACTATTTCAGCATCCATGCCATTCCTTACTTTTTAGTCGGGATCATTTGCGGTTCGGGGTGGGGATCATTTGCGGTCCGGCATCATTTGCGGTCCAATTTGGGGATCATTTGCGGCCCGGGATCATTTGCGGTCGTGGGATCATTTGCGGACCCGTACAGTTCGGCCTTTAATGGAATATTGTGATATTGTCTGGTCCAATGATGATAGAACCTCTCTTCAAAGACTTCTTTGGCTTCAGGAATGGGGAGCACGGATTGTTCTCGAAAAGAAGATCAGGGAAGACCGTACCGATAATTTGTTTTGTGAACTGGGATGGGTCTCCTTGTAGGAACGTTGGAACTTTCACAAGTGTTTAACTGTATTTAAATGCCTTAATGCAATTTATCCACCCTATCTGAGAAGGCTTTTTTCCTATAATTCAGATTTCCCCCATTACAATACCAGAAATAGAGCGAATCTACATATGGTCAAAATAACTTTAAGTCTGGCTACAGGTCATTTACCTATTCAGCTGCTAAACTATTTAACAACCTTGATCATGCCACAAAATGCTCCCTGACACTTAAAGAGTTTGTAAATAACTATTGGCCTAAATATCTTGTAATGATCTATATAATTCGGCATCGTAGGTTTATTGTTCACGGAACACGGGCAAAGGGTTATCTATTCATTTATTTATTTTAATATTTCTATT